GCATATTTTATTTGGTGACATTTCATACACACTGGCCTTTTATACAAGCAGATACAGTGGGGAAAATAAGTATTTAGTCAGTCACCAATTGTGCAAGTTCTCCCACTTAAAAAGATAAGAGAGGCCTGTAATTGACATCATAGGTAGACCTCAACTATGAGAGACAAAATGTGAAAACAATTTGAGAAAATCATTTTGTCTGACTTTTAAAGAATATTTTTGCAAATAATGGTGGAAAATAAGTATTTGGTCACCTACAAACAAGCAAGATTTCTGGCTGTCACAGACCTGTAACTTCTTTTTTAAGAGGCTCCTCTTTCCCCCACTCATTACCTGTATTAATGGCACCAGTTTGAAGTCGTTAACAGTATAAAAGACACCTGCCCACAACCTCAAACAGTCACACTCCAAACTCCACTATGGTGAAGATGAAAGAGCTGTCGGAGGACACCAGAAACCGAATTGTAGACCTGCACCAGGCTGGGAAGACTGAATCTGCAATAGGCAAGCAGCTTGGTGTGAAGAAATCTACTGTGGGAGCGATAATCAGAAAATGGAAGACATACAAGACCACTACTAATCTCCCTCGATCTGGGGCTCCACGCAAGATCTCAGCCCGTGGGGCCAAAATGATCACAAGAACGGTGAGGAAAAATCCCAGAACCACAAGGGAAATCTAGTGAATGACCTGCAGAAAGCTGGGRCCAATGTTACAAAGGCTACCATCAGCAACACACTACGACGCCAGGGACTCAGATCTTGCAGTGCCAGACGTGTCCCCCTGCTTAAGCCAGTCCATATCCAGGCACGTCTGAAGTTTGCTAGAGAGCATTTGGATGTTCCAGAAGAGTATTGGGAGAATGTCATATGGTCAGATGAAACCAAAGTAGAACTATTTGGTAAAAACACAACTCGTCGTGTTTGGAGGAAAGTGAATGCGGAGTTGCATCCAAAGATCACCATACCAACTGTGAAGCATGGGGGTGGCAACATCATGCTTTGGGGCTGTTTCTCTGCAAAGGGACCAGGACGACTGGTCCGTGTACATGAAAGAATGAATGGGGCCATGTATTGTGAGATTTTGGGTGCAAACCTCCTTCCATCAGCAAGGGCAATGAAGATGAAAHGTGGCTGGGTCTTTCAGCATGACAATGATCCCAAGCACACTGCCAGGACAACAAAGGAGTGGCTTCGTAAGAAACATTTCAAAGTCCTGGAGTGGCCTAGCCAGTCTCCCGATCTCAACCCCATCGAAAACCTTTGGAGGGAGTTGAAAGTCCRTGTTGCCCGCCGACAGCCCCAAAACATCACTGCTCTAGAGGAGATCTGCATGGAGGAATGGGCCAACATACCAGCAACAGTGTGTGCCAACCTTGTGAAGACTTACAGAAAACGTTTGACCTCTGTCATTGCCAACAAAGGATATACAACAAAGTATTGAGATGAACTTTTGTTACTGACCAAATACTTATTTTCCACCATTATTTGCAAAAAAAATTCTTTAAGTCAGACAAAATGATTTTCTCAATTTTTTTTTCACATTTTGTCTCTCATAGTTGAGGTCTACCTATGATGTCAATTACAGGCCTCTCTCATCTTTTTAAGTGGGAGAACTTGCACAATTGGTGACTGACTAAATACTTATTTTCCCCACTGTATGAGCCACATGCAAGTTACTTATTAGTCACTATCAAAATATATAAATGAACACTCATTTCTTTTACACTGACATACATTCACTGGCCCATTACATGGTCCATTACTCAGTATGTATCTTTGCTGGTAGGTTTTCTTGTCGGTAAAATAACTTTTTCCCTCAGAAACAATAATACTTACTACATAACTGATGATCTTATAATCACTGTTCATCTGTCTTTGTAATGTTTGTATTAACTGGTCAAGTTTAAAGCTTATTAATCACACTTCAAACTATAGATGCTTCATTCACTCTTGAGGTCCCAGCACTCGAGTTGTGAAAGAGTAGGGTAAACCCTTGTTGTTCTAGTCTTTGACACTAGAGGGGGCCAGTTGAATAAAAGTTGGATCTATTTTATATTCTAATCCATGGCTTTGCTTTCACAATTGAATATATACTTTTTTTTCCTTGTGCTGCTCAGCACTTATAGCACCATAAGAAATATGTGAAAAACTCATTATATTTCACACATAAACACATTATAAAATGATAATGAGTTTTCACAAAAGAAAAAAATAAGTGAATAAAAATATTTTTTAAATAAGTTAATAAAGCAGTAGCTGGCAGCGTTTACACCTCAGGTCATATCTTTCCATTAAATCTATGAAAACTGAACAACACACAAACATTTTGGGGTCAATAAATTGGTTTTGTAGCTTTTTTTTCTTTCTTTTTTGCAAGCCTTAAGTAAGATAAGGATTTTACCTAAATACTATAAATGCACATAGAACCACTTGTGCAAAGTCCACAGTTTCTCCTTTTCAGTAAGCCTGTGTAAGAAGTTAAGTCCGTCACCTTAGTTGCTCTGAAGCTGGAAGTGATTTAACAGCATGTTATGTTACTTGAAGCCAAGCATTCTTGACTTCTTGCCTTCAGCACTATATTGGTATGTCTCATCTTGGACTGCAAAGTGACTGAGCATAAAGCTGTTGTGTTAAAAAAAGCAATCAAACTATTCATTCACGTACTGACTTTCTTGTTCCTGTTAGATACTTGTACAAAAGTAATTTTAGAGAACGTGCTAAATTATTAGTGGTTTTCGGTTTAATCCTGCCATTTATTTTGGCTGACTAAAGGGCATTGTTTTTATTTCTATTAGGCTTAACAGAGCTGAACAAGCCTTTCTAAACAAGATGCTCAGAATTGCACTTTTTCATGAAAAGATGTGATCCTGACTTCCTTGCTACAGTTAGTAAACACTGTGGGAACTCTTTACTACTACTTTGCTATTTTTCAGCTGAGGATTCTCTGAGTTTTTGTTTTGATTCTTGTCACAGAGAAAATAAAATAATGAAGTTAAAGAAAAGAAAGTTCTTGAGTCTATTGATAGGGAACTGTGCTATTGAAGTGATTTATTAGTTTTTAATGAACGTTGTAGGAAGTTTAATATGCATATGATCTGTTTGTTTAAAAAGTTGGATGGGGTTGATAATAATGGTGTTGCAGACTGGAATAGTGTCACTTTCACATGACTTAAAGAACTAAGATTAGTCTGAAAGCTCAAGTAACCTCTGGAACTTGTCAGAAACAAGCAGCCACTCAGTGTCACCTCATTAGTTATTTTATGCCGCCGGCCTTATGGCAACAGCAATTTGGTCTGTTCATTTTCTTTTATATAAAATTTTCATATTCAGTCATTCCCTAATGGGTAATATATGGAAAATTTACCATTTTAAAACAGCCTAACGGCACCAGACATCTTTTTTGGAATGAGACATTCTTGTTTTTGGAGTGTGTGGGAATGTACTGTTTTGTAGCTCATTTCCTCAAACTGAGTTAAATTTTTACAGCTGCTTGTTGGAAAGAAAGCTTTTTTTATCGTTTTGTAGAACTGAATTTGTTATAGTAAGAATGTCCAATAAAATGACAGATTCTAACTTTTAGCAGTTGGCTCATAGCCGATGATACTAAGTTTTTAAAGTGATAATTAAATTTCATTTTGTGGGCTTCTGTGGAAAGGTTATGAATGATATCGAACTTGTAGACTTCTTTCTGAACAACTTCAATTTGGAGAAAAACTGGCTAGTTCAAACACACCCTACTCCGAAGTGGCTTGTTGCCATCATAACCCAGCCAAAAATTCAAGATGTTCAATTTTGCGATTGCCTTAAATAATGGTAAATTATTTATCTAAAAATATTGGTTCAGTTAATATGTTATCCTACCACCTGAATTCCTATTTCTGAAATGTTCATCTTATACACCTTTTATACTGCATTAGTATTTAAAATAATGTTAATTTTTAATTAACAAGCAGGATGTTATTTGACTATCGAAAATATAATGTAGTCCTACCTTTCATTAAGAGGTTTATGCATTTGATTACGATTCATAGGCTAAATGGGAAATAAACTGATTGTGTTGTGATGTGAAATTACCTTGGTTGAATGTTTTACTTGTGAATACTTTTCTAAGTGGCTAAATTCTCTAAATGGCATTTTTCCACCAGCTGCTTAGGTTTTCAGTCCCACATGCTCAATTGGCTAAACAACTGTCAATATGGCACCAACTTACTCCAACTGGGCTGAACATTAATTTAAAAACTTTGCTCCGTCTGATACCCAGGGTCTAAAACGTTGGATAGTTTCGGCTGGTGTGTCAGGGTCCTGACTGTGCTCTAATCCTCTTCAAACAATAGTGGATGCGAGAATAGAAGAGAGCTTAGGTCCGTTAGGTCTTTGTTGCTGGCTGTTTAAACTTTTAAACACACACACTTCTTACTCAGTTCATGAATTCATCCATGTCAACTGTCCTTTTTTTGAGTACTGAGGAATTTGGCACACACTGTTGCACCACTTACCATCATGAGCACCTTTATATTTTCACATCATTGCTGATAAACTCTTATGTACTTAGATTCAACTGAATTGCAAAGATATCCTGCTGCTTTTGCTGTCTTTGTAGATTGCTGCGAAACACTTCAATAAACTTAAAAGTCTTTCCCTCTTGATGCTGTTCAAGCGAACCACATGTCACGCATACTAACCTTGGCCAACTGGGATCTTCTCCTGAAATATCCTAAGCCACTTTGCTGACAGAGACAGAGTTATTGACATTCCTTGACACTTTGGAACTGTCAGAGAAAGTTGGCGTGTAACAAATTCTAATTTCAGAACTGATGTTAATGGGGATGATACAGATTGAGATGTAGTTATCCGTTGGATGGTGCCAGTTTCATTGGAAGACACACAACTGGGCTCAAAGATACTGGCCATGTATTTGGACAGACCAAAGTGGAAGGGGTTGGGGGGACATAGAATTACCACAATGAGGAAACGCCCCGGTCACACGTGCGCTGCGTCAGACGAGTCCTGGTTCACATTCCCCCACTGAGGGGTCATGAGAGCAGATTCCACAGTGCCTGACTGAGAGGGAGAGGCTGAGTTTGTCCATCCTCCTTTCAGTCCCTGACATCAGCTGCTCCTCCTGGCTTGGCTGTAGCAGTGACCTCACAGCCTTGAGATACTTTAAAGGGAGCTAGTCAAGAGGGTGGGTAAGCTCTGAGTCGAGTCAGAGTTTAGCAAGTGCACCTTTAATACATCTGCGCAATGATTTGGAGGTCCAGGAAAGGTGCCACAGTTGTTTAAGAAAAGCGGTCTACTTGCAGTGTTGGTCGGTCAGTATTTGGGGGGCTAACTTCTGGGATATGATCCATTAGTCTGTTTTGCAATGCTGCGGCATTGCCCTATTCCCCGTTTCTCATCGTCTGGTGCTCAGAGAAAGATGCCAAATGCTGCCTGTGGGAAAGAAAAGACTCCGCGTGTCCCACCGGAGAGCCAGGCACTCAGCCTGGCAGACGCCAAGGACATGGCCCCTGAATCGTTACCCCCTCAGAAAGTACTGAAGATATTCAGCATCAACATCATTGCTCAAGGTTTACCGTTCTGTCGTAGACGGGTGAGTACTGCACGTCAGTAACCAGTTTTGCAGTTTAGTTTCATGTGATGACCCTTTCCCCAAATGTCAAAGGTCACTGTTAAGAGTTGTCCTTATTCACTTGGTTAGATTTTATCTTATAAATATTTTTTTGTCCCAAAGATTGTCATTAAAAAGTTAAAATAACTGCTTAGTTTTATTAATCGCTTTTTCTTGTGTTATCACCACAGTGCCACTTTTACTTTTAACAATTTTATATTTATTTCTCCAATTTATCTAGTTAGACACAGTTATAATATGAATATGTCTGAATATCTGAATGTGTCTGAATAGACACTAGTCAAAAAAAAAACTTTCATGTTTGCATCACAAACTGCAACATTTCAAACAGGGTCTTGTCTGTTTCTGTCTCTTTTAAATTTAAGAATTCAGACATTCATTTACGTTTCACTTCTCGTGGGAAATGACGAACGTACGCCGATATATAACCTTAAAAAGACTCCAAGCAGAGAGCCTATTTTTAGAGTATTTCTAGTCCACTTTCACATTCCTGCTGAACTAATTCAGCATAATGTAAAGTGTGTCATGAAATAAATGAAATAAGACAACCGTGTAAAGAAAGCTGCCATTTCAGTGTATCCAGCTTCAGACTGAGTAAAAAAAACCCAAAACATTTTTCAAAACTTTAAAGCATACTAAAATGTTCCTTTCGGTTCAAACTTTACTTTAATATATACATACTCTCTCTAGTCCCTATTCTGTTGAATATTTAATAAAACTTTGAAACTTTAAAAAATGGATATATCAATTATATAAACGTAAAATACTTTGTAGACACTATATTTTAAGTTGATTTTAAAGAGAAATAATTTCTATTAGCTACTTTAATTTAAATATGTAATTGCTTGTTCTTTTAACATTAAAATACATATTTACAATTTAATGGTCTGTAGTTCTGGAAAACTCTAAAAGATGCAACACAACACGGGTTGCGGTTTCCTTTTTAAGGTCACAGTTTGTTTACCCGGCACCAGAAGACATTTAAACCTTTTCCATCCTACAAATAAAACTTTTTCCTGTGTGAATCTCTGAGGGATGACAGCAGTCAGCCAGATAGCTCTCAAAGTTGTCACAAAATGTTGAAGTGTTGTTTTATAAGGAATATTAGGAAATTTTAAAGTAAGCCTCAAATAAACTGTAATAACTGTTTCTGCAGTGTTATAACTATTTCTTATTTTTGTGTTCATTACAGAAAAATAACTGAGATTTAATTAGGACTTTCTTTGTAGCAATTTCATAAATAATTGAAAAGATTTGGATATTGCAACAATGTTAGTAGTTACACTTGGCAACAAATTTTAAAACGTTGAATAATTAGCTTTTTTATTGTTTTGTTTTTACTTTTTAGTGCAGTCTTGTGTTAAAACTAAAGACTGAAAGCTTTGCCGACTACTTCCATTAAATTGTCCTTGTGCATATATAATTTATGGTATTGTATAGCAACATTTCAATGTTATTTTCACTTTTGTAAAATGCAATTTTGTTTTTTGTTAATTTCTGTGATGTCTCATTGCTGGGATCATACAACTGTTTTCTTTTTTTATTAAAATTGTAGAGACAATGACATTTTATCTAACTGACTTTCCCCCCTCATTTATCAATATTTTAATTTGATTTCAAAAATTTTATTAAATAGGTATATTAAAAAATAATAATATGCCAGACTTTCTTTTGTTTTTGAAACAGTAGAGATTTTCATTTAAGTTTAGATTATTGAACTTGAACTCAGAAATAATAATACCTGCCATAAATATGCTTTATTATTAGTAGCCATTATAGCAAGTGAGTTTTGAAGTTTAGCTTGTCTGCTTTCTTGTCTAACATTTCAAACTGTTTTACGGTTTGAAACAAATAAATCAATAGAAAGTCTAATATGTAGCTGAAATGTTAAGAACAAAAATGGTTTTGTCTTTAGCAGCATGCAGATTTTTTTAACGCAAAATTAAGGAAATAATCTACATATTCCTATAGCTGGGAGTTGAGTTGAACTGAGCAAACCTTTTGCTCCTTAAACAGAATGGTTGGAAGTTTTGAGACATACAGTTTGTTTTGCAATTTATACTTTGTACAGTAAATAAAAGGTTCACAAGACGAGTTCAGGGAGTTCTCATTCCTGTTGGTGTAAGCAGAGCAAAAGCCTCGTGGCCTGACCTGCGCATGTGGCAGAGGTCAATAAATAGCACAGCCTGTATTCTCCTTGGTCTTTGTGGTATAGTCTAACTTAATTTGCATGTTCTATGTTTATGGGATTTATTTTCTTTTTCATTCAAGCTCCTTTTTAATTATTTTCAAACATGATTTCTTACTTCCCTTCAAAATGAATATGAGATATTGCCTTTCTTTTGAGAGACGTACAGATTAACGTTGACTCTTCAGCTTGTCATTCAAGTACTACTGAATAAAAATAGTCTCTGGATAAAATTCAGGATTGAAGACAGATGAGGAGTATCTGTCATATAACCAGAATAGGCATCCAGCTGTTGCAGGAAATGGTCATCAAGAAATAGATTAACAGCAAAGGCATTTCATCAGCATTGCCACTTTGTCACCCACCACACCCTGTTCTGCAGGCCTCAGTAAGGCAATCTGGACGTGCCCATTGCAGCTATGTCTGCATCAACAGCCATCAGCAAGATGCATTTGCTATTTGAGCAGGTGCTGTGGGTGTGTTGAAACTTTCTTTAGCAGCATCCTCACAGCGTCTCAGTTCCCCTTTTTGTTGTCTATTGATACATAGAGGAGTGCGATGATTGTTAATTGTCTCACTTTGTTTGCAAGTTGTTGACATTTCCATTTTACCATTTTAAAACTGAGCTTTAATATTATGATTTTTCTCATAGAAAAACCAACTTCGCTGTATATTTGAGAACATAATCCTGAAGAACAGAAACACATTTGATTCTAGATGCATGTGGCTATGTGAGACAGTGACATGATACAGAACAGGATCCTGCTACTTGGAGGTCAGATGATCTGATTGAGGCTCCAGTTGTTGTCACTTCTCATATTAGTAATCTAAGTATACCTTCATTTCACTTTGGCTAATTGTGCTGCTTTAAAGGAATTTGTTGCCTTTGACAATGCCTTTGACAATCTCAAAGTAGTTGCCTTTTTAGATAAAAATTGGGTAAGAAATGGAAACAAAGTAATAAAGCTTCAACACTAGCAATGTTAAGCTATAAAGTTGTATAAACCATCTAACATGATATTGAGTTAACTCTTTTTCATGTGGAATGCAAATATTTATATGCTCTTTCATCACAGATGCAACAGGGTTGTTTTTAATTTTTACTTCCTCTGTATCTCTGACACCTTCGTTTTTCCATTGCAGCCATGTTAGGTAAGCTTGGTGCCCCGGAGGAGCAGCTGCCTTCACTGCTGATAGTCTCTTTAGCTGAAACTTGTAAAGAAACTAAAGCTTTGCTGACGGCGTCATGTGGCTCTACAAACATATCCAGGCTTTTTAAAAACTATTTTTATACTGTTTACATAGAGCCAAATGCATAGTAATGTGTTCGACTGGGTTTGAAACTAATTAGTCTTTCCAAGTTTGTATTGTTTTTTTTCCCCTCCCTCTCATTTTCTTCTATTACTGATGCAATGCATTGTAATACACTGGAGGGAGGTTGGTACGAGGCTTAAGAGAGATCCTCTCCTAGTTTAATGTTACTTTGAATTGCTTGATAGAAATAGTTCTTACTGGAAAATTCCCAAGGAAAAAAAATCTGAAATTGAATTGAGGCAGTTTATTCTACAAGCAAGACCTGTTGAAATCTTTAGCCATTTTGTATGTATGTATGTATGTATGTATGTATGTATGTATGTATGTACTGTATGTACTGTATGTATGTATGTATGTATGTACTGTATGTACTGTATGTATGTACTTTATGTATGTACTGTATGTATGATGTATGTATGTATGTATGTACTGTATGTACTGTATGTATGTACTGTATGTATGTATGTATGTACTGTATGTATGTACTGTATGTATGTACTGTATGCACTGTATGTATGTATGTATGTACTGTATGTATGTACTGTATGTATGTATGTATGTACTGTATGTATGTATGTATGTACTGTATGTATGTATGTATGTACTGTATGTATGTATGTATGTACTGT